CCCTGGGGTATCACCTCACATCTATCAGATTGGCTAATATGACAGAAAAGGAAAATGATAAATGTTGGAGATGTGGGAAGATTGGGACACTAATGCATTGTTGGTGGAGTTGTGAACCGATCCAACCATTCTGGAGAGGAATTTGGACTTATACCCAAAGGGCAATCAAACTGTGCATATCCTTTGATCCAGCAATACCAGTACTAGTTCTGTGTCCCAAAAAGATCATAAAAAAGTGAAAACGACCTACATGTGCAAAAATATTTATAGCAGCCCTTTTCATAGTGGCAAAATATTGGAAAATGAGGGGATGCCCATCAATTGGGGAATGGCTGAACAAGCTGTGGTATTTAAATGTAATGGAATATTATTGTGCTATAAGAAACAATGAACAGGCAGATTTCAGAAAAACCTGGAAAGACTTGTACGAACTGATGCAAAGTGAAATGAGCAGAACCAGGAAAACACTGTACACAGTATCAGAAACTTTCTGTGAAGATCAGCTATGAATGACTCAGCTCTTCTCAGCAATACAATGATCCAAGACAAATACAAAGGACTCATGAAGGAAAATGCTTTCCACATCCAGATAAAGAACTGATGGACTCTGAATGCAGATCAAAGCATACTTTTTCCACTTTATTCTTTTTCATGTTTTTTTCCCTTTTGATCTGCTTCTTCTTTCACAACTGTTAATAATATGTAAATATGTTTTACATGATAGCATATGTATAACCTATATCAAATTGACTACCACTTTTGGAAGAGGGGAGGGGAGGGAGGGAGGGAGAAAAATTTGGAACTCAGAATCTTGTAAAAATAAATGCTAAAAATTGTCTTGACGTGTAATTGGGAAAAAATAAATACTATTTTCTTTTTTAATTTTTGGTGAGGCAATTGGGGTTAAGTGACTTGCCCAGAGTCACACAACTGGTAAGTGTTATGTGTCTGAGGCTGCATTTGAACTCAGGTCCTCCTGACTTCAGGGCTGGCGCTCTATCCGCTGCGCCACCTAGCTGCCCCCCTTCTTTATTTTTTTAATACTATTTTCAAAAAAATAAATCCAAAAGAAAAAAAATAATAGGAATATACGAGAGATATACAAAGAGAATGGAAGGTAACAGTAGGGGGCAAGAAACTAGCACCTGAGGTTGGCGGATGGGTGGGTGGGGGATGGGGAAAGGGAGATTTGAACTGAATATTGAAGGAAGCCAGGGAAATTAAGAGGCTGAGGCATGGAAACAGGAGACAGATTGTCATGTTTGAGGAACAGGAAGCAGGCCAGTGTAGCTGGATTGTAGAATATATTTTTGTTGTTTTGTTTAGTCATTTCAGTTGTGTCCAACTCTTGAGTCTTCATGATCTTATTTGGAGTTTTCTCGGCAATGATACTGGAGTGGTTTGTCATTTCCTTCTCCAGCTCATTTTACAGATGAGGAAACTAAGGCAAACAGGGTGAAGTGATTTACCTAGGGTCACATAACACATCTAGTAAGTTTATGAAGCCAGATTTGAACTCAGCTAGATAAGTCTTTCTGACTCCAGGTGCAGCACTCTATCCACTGCATCACCTAGCTGCCCCGTCAATTTTACATGCATTTATTAAGCATCCACTATGTACAAAGCACTGTGTTAGAAACTGGGGATTGGATGGGGCTGGACCTGTGATTTCATAGGGAATTCTTTTTTTTTTATCAGTTTATTTTGATTTATCAACAATCACTTCCATAAGCTTTTGAGTTTTAAATTTTTCTCCCCTTTCCTCCCCACCTCCCTCCCCAAGACGATGCACAATCTGATATAGGCTATACATGTACATTCCTATTAAACATTTTCACATTAGTGATGTTGTAAGTAAGAATTAGAACCAATAGGAGGAACCACCAGAAAGAGGAAACAAAACACAACAGAAGGAAAAAAAAAAGCAAATACTATGCTTCGATCTGCATTCAAACTCCATAGTTCTTTCTTTGGATGTAGATAGCGTTTTCCACCATGAGACCTTTGGAGATGTCTTAGATCCTTGCATTGCTGAGAAGGGTTAAGTCTATCAATGTTAGTCATGGCTGTTACTGTGTACAATGTTCTCGTAGTTCTTCACTCAGCATCAGTCTATGCAAGTCTTTCCAGGTTTTTCCTGAAGTCCGTTCATAGGGAATTCTCATTGAGGACATTGTCTACTAATGCAGATCAGAACCTCATCTGACCTTACAGTCTTAGAACATTGCTTGGGATACTGAGAGGTAAGTGACTCGGTGCCCAGGTACACAACCAATAGGCAGTGGCCAGGCTTGGCTCCACATCTTCCTGACACTCAAGGCTGGATCTTTATTGACTATGCTATGCTGTCTCTTGGGCACTGAGGCTCCAAAGACAGAAGTGAAGCAATGTATGAATGTGGGCAAATAATTCCTGTTTTAGGATGTAGGATAAGGTTCAGGGTTGTAGAAAATGACAATAAAAAGGAATGTTCATCTTTTTTTGAGATGTCAGTATAAAGCAGAGACACCCCACCTTTCCAATCCATTATTCCCCACCCACCCCTCTCCTAAGCCAGGCTGGTGTCAACATTACCCAGATGGTCCTTGAGCACATCTACATTCATTCATCCTGTTCACCTTCCTTTTTATGTGTGCTTGAACCATATCCTACTCAGCTTTGAGTCATACCTTCTCCAAGAGGTTTCCCAGTAACTCTAATCCTTACCATTCTCTTCCCTTCCTGACCTCCCCACAGCACCATTTATTTTGGAACTATTATTTTCTTATTATTCTTTATTTTTTTCATGAGTGTAAGCCTTGTCTTTTTAATATTGACTATAAATTTCTCAAAGAGAAGAACGATGCTCTACACTATTTTTATATTCGCTATAGTTCCCAATATACTGTTTGGGGTTTTTTTTTTCCTTATCGAGGATGACAAAAACTATTGAAGATTTCTTTTGTTCAAAGAACAGGATCTGAGGCAAGTACTAATATTTTCGTCCCTGGTATCACCTTGTCTTGTCTTTTAAAGCTTGAAGGATGCTTTTCATTTCTTAGCAGGATTTGGGGGTGTTGCAAACTACACTGAGGCATAGAAATGGTGTCACTTTTTTTTGCTTGATTTTATTTGTTCAAAAGGAAGGGTCCTTTGTCAGGGAAGGGGATGTAATATCAGGAAATAACTGTTATTAAGGAAAAAACTATCAAACGTCACTTTTTAAAAAATTTAAATAGTTAGTGAGAAAGAGAACAGGTGGATAATGGAACAAATAAGAACAAGGAAAGCCACACGAGTGCCAGTCATAAGTCTCCTTTACGTCCCTGCGGGAGAGGCTGGTCAATGTATATTAAGTGTCTGCTGTATGTAGGGTACTATGCTAAGTGCTATGGATTCAAAGAGCAGAGAGGAGAAAAATACAAGACCACTATAGGGGAAAAGAGCTACGTTTTAAAGAGCATTAAATACCCAAGATCTTTTTATTTGATTCTGAAGAAAATACAGAATAACACAGAAATTAAAGATATCTACAGTCATATGAAAAATGCTCTAAATCACTATTAGAGAAATGCAAATTAAAACAACTGAGATACCACCTCACATCTATCATATTGGCTAATATGGCAGAAAAGGAAAATTATAAATGTTGTAAGAGAATTAGAACACTAATGCACTGTCGGTAGAGTCATGAACTGATCCAACCATTCTGGAGAATAATTTGGAACTGTGCTCAAAGGGCAACCAAACTGTGTGTACCCTTTAATCCAGCAATACTACTTCTAGGTCTGTATCCCAGAGATCATAAAAAAAAAGGGGGGGAAAGGACCTACACATATAAATATATTTATAGCAGCTCTTTATGTGATGGCAAGGAATTGGATATTGAGGGCATGCCCATCAACTGGGGAATGGCTGAACAAGTTGTGGTATATGAATGTAATAGAATACTATTGTTCTGTAAGAAATGATGTAGGTGGATTTCAGAAAAACCTAGACTTACATGAGCAGAACCGGGAGAATATTGTACACAGTAACTGTAACTGTGCCATGATTAACTATGATACTTAGGTCTTCTCAGCAATACAACAATCCAAGATAATTCCAAAAGACTCATGATGGAAAATGCTATCCACATCCAGAGAAAGAACTATGGCGTCCGAATGGAGATCGAAGCATATTATTTTCACTTTTGAGTTTCTTTTTCATGGTTTTTCCCTTTTGTCCTGTTTCTTCTTTCATAACATGACTAATGTGGAAATATGTTTAACATGATTGCACGTTATCAGATTACTTGCCATCTTGGGGGGGGAGGAGAGAAAAATTTGGAATTCAAAATCTTTTAAGAAATGAATGGTGAAAACTATCTTTATATGTAATTGGAAAAAAACGCTATTTACAAAAAATCCATTTTCATGAAGCTGATTCTATTCCAAAATGGCCACATAAAGAAACAAAAAAGGCCATCATTCCCACACATCTCCCCTTATTCAGGCTCTGGATGGCTCCAGTTCTTTTGCAACTTACTTTTATTGGATAGAGGGCAGCATTACCTTATCAACAAGCACCAATAGGACACAGTCTTTCCCAGCATCCAAAGCTACCAAACTAACAACTCAAGATGAAATTTTCCCTAGCCGGAGAAGAGAAAGTGGATGGGAAAGACAGAGAGGGGAAGGAGGGTGGGAGAGGGAGGGAAACAAAGGGGGGAGGAGGAAAGGAGAGGATGGGAAAGAGAAAGAGGGAGAAGAAGAGAGGGACAGAGAATGAGGGAGGGAGAGTCAGAGAGGGAAGAGAGAGGTGAGAGGATGAGGGAGGGAGAGAAGGCGAGAGGATGAGAAAAGAATTTAGCTCATGTTCTGAATCACAGACAACCTGTCACGATTCTAACTTCTGTCCTCTGCTCCTGTGGATTCAGCATGACATAATGCAGTGTCAAACTCAAATTGAAATGGGGGCCACTAAGCCATATGAGGACCCCTGTGGAAGTTTAACTTAGAAAACCACACATTAACACTATCTATATTTTACTGTAGTTTTATTTTGTTAAATATTTCCCAATTACATTTTTCTCTGGTTCTGGCTACATGGGGGAGTGTTATGGGCCAGAATGCACGTGTGACATCTCTGGCATAGCAGGGTAAGTGCTGGACTTCAAATTCGGCCCATGTTCCAACTGTGAGATCAAGAACAAATCACTTACAGCATCAATTTTCTCATCTGCACAATGGGGCAGAATGGATAGAGAGCTGACCTCAGAGGCAGGAAGACCACAGTCCTGTTTCTAACATACACCAGCTGTGTAACTCTAGGCAACTAAGATGAATCTGTGACACTTGTCTACATCAACAAAATCACAGCTCCTCCCCTTACCCCTAAAGTAGGACTAATGCTAGAAATTCTGCCCCAACAAGGCTGGGACCAAAGCCCTTTCCAAATTTTGGTGCTATAAAAATGCAGTTATTTCCACTCTTCAAGTGCATGGTCCTGCTCAACAGGACAGGGAGCAGCTGCACACTGTGACCATTTGGCACCCCATCTTTTTTCTGGCTCCAGCACCCAGGTGCCTGTTTGCTTTTCTTACTCCCATAGAGTTAAAGAGGACAAGGCTGGCACGAGCTGGGCTTTCCATTGACTGGAAAGTGGCAGCTGTCTTTGCTTTGCACATGAAGTACCACCTTTAATCTAGTTGGAAAAGAAATCATTCTTCTGTTTTAGTCTTCAATCCAAAAAGAAAAACAAACAGAACACCCTCAAATCTAACAGATGTGTGGTTACTAGGCAGCAGTTTGGGAATCCATCATCGATGGCTAAGAATTTTCAGTTAAGAGGAAGCAGGGGCCTCCCCAGAGCTCCACAGGACCCCTGTCCCCCTCCCATCCTGCCTCCCCAGCAGGGAAGGAAAGGAAGGAAGAGGCAGCAGGAACTCTTAGCCATCAAACAATCAGAAAAATTCAGAAGTACTGAAAGGAGCTCTCCATTGGTGGTTTGTGATTTCCCTCCTGGACCTGGAGACCCCATTGGGATACAAAGCCTGCTATGGAGAAAGCAAGCTGGAGAACGGTCTTCTCTTGACCTTTGCTGTTTGGAAAATCTGACACATATAAAAAATAAGTGTGAACAATTTGGGGAAATATGGAAAGACCCACATGAGGTGACAGAATAAAATGAGTAGAACCAGATCTGTACATACTGACTGCAACAAGATAAAAAGGAGAAAGAACATAAAAGAACAAGGCCAAAAGTGGTAGACTTTCCAACAGACCTAAAAAGGGAAATGGGAGGAAGAGTCTTTATTTGTTTATTTGTCGCTGGTGAGGTGATTTCTACTCTTCACCCCTCCAGTCACAGGGTGGCCTGGGGTCCTTTCAGGATGCCTAGTGCAATAGGAGGGGGCTCAGAAAGGATAGGGAAGGGCTCAAAGGGCGCAAATTTGCTCCAGGTACCAAAGTGGTAGAACAAAGAGAGCCAGGAGTCACATCTCCTAAGAGATGAGGGGTCTCATTGAAGGGACAGCAGGACGGAAAAAGCCTCACCATGTCACATTAGAACTCTCTTAATCATTCTCATACTAGTCCATCCATGAAAGAGAAATACACACTGAGAGGCCCTAAGGACAAGGACACAGATTCCAACATGACTCTTAGCGCCCCCTCCTCTCCACCAAGTGAAAGCTACTTGACACACTGAGCTCCATATAGCCAATGGCCCAAGCAAGCTGCTGCCAGGCGACAAGTCCACTTTGGCATGATGGTCAACAGCCTGTGGGGGCCTAAGCAGAGTCGGGGGTGGGGAGGGAGGGGCTCAGTTCTGATTTCTGGTTACAGACTCCAGATACCCTAGTTTAGGACCACCACTCCTACAAGAGCAAAATGCCCATACTGTGCAAATACCTCTGGCCCACACCAGATCCTTGTCAGTCTTTCCTCATCCTCCTATTGAACAAGCTTCATGGAAGCATACGTACGTGACCCCAGGGTCTTTCTAGGTTTTCTTTCTTGGGCACACTCCCTCCCTCCCAACCCCCCACTCCACCTCCTTTTTTTTCCTCCTTTTTTGGCTTATAGATGATAACAGTCAATCAGATGCCACTCTAGGAATTAGGGCGGGGTCAGGCACTGATGATCAGCAGCAGGAAAGGTTACTTCTTAACTATCTGGATGACATCCTCGTGCTCCATCGTATGTGTCAATCCCACTCTCTGAGGACTGTATTTTGTGCTGGTTCCCTTTAAGAGTGGAAGGAAGAGGGAAACATTACATAGTCAGAATTTCCTTGAGGAGGAAGAGGAAAGGGAATTCTTAAGTCAGAAGGACTGGAGGACTTACCCACACTAAAGCATATTTAAACTGGCTGGCAAGCGTTCGGTGAATCCGGTGGCACTATGGGAAGAGAAAAGGGTTTAGACTGCAGGATGTTCCCAGCCTAAGACCTACATCTAATAATTCCACACTTCTGTTAAGTCTCCACCACTGCCTGGTGCTCAGAGATGGCATTTCTTACAAGGGGGAGAGTGAAACCTGGTACACTGCTTTTTCAACCTCTTAGAAGTAAGGATTGCTATGGTGGCAAAAGACTCCAAAGGCCACCTATCCTACACAGTACTACATTTGCCTCGATTTGTTGTTTGTTATTTATAATTTTCTGCATGGGTCTGGCTGTTCTTCACCCCTTGATAGTAGTAGGGTAGTCCACTGGCCTTTCAGGAGACCCAGAAACAACAGGGAAGGACTCAAAGTGTAGAAATTTGCTCCAGGTGCCAAAACAGTCTAAAATGGAGACCCAGGAGTCCCACCTCCTAAGAATGTGAAGTCTGAATTTATGGGATGGCAGAGGAGGGGAAGAGCCCCAACATCGCTCTCAAACCTGTCATCCACGAAAGAGAGAAACATCTGCTTTGTGTCTAGATGAGCCCAAATTCTTTATGAAGGCTTCTCTGACCATGGACAAGCCTCCTTGACCTACACACTCCTTTTTTTCTGTATTATTGATTTGCCCCATAGTCCTGAGGTACCTGAGGTCATTTAACACTATTGTCTTAATTCTGATTTAACGTATGTGTGCGTGTGTGTGTGTGTGTGTGTGTGTGTGTGTGCCTCGTCTCTAGCCTGTGTGTGTGTGTGTGTGTGCGTGCGCGCGCGCGCACGCGTGCTTCATCTCTTTAACTAGTTATAAACTTGATGATCTGGGCACCTTGCTTTCCATTTCTCTGGCTCTTATACACCGGCACACCACAGATACTCAGTAACATCTGTTCAATGGACGACTCTGGGGTAAATCAGAGTTTCCAGATCCAGAACAATTTCTCCCATTCCTCACATGACCTTGGGGACTCACTTCACCTAACAGACCTTCCTTGTTTCTATCTCACATGGATGTTTTGAAAATAACAAATATACATGAAGAAACCTGAATTCTCTATAAGAAAACTGCCATGCTACCCTATACCCCTTCTCTGCAGTTAGCTGAGTGAAAACCTTTTGTTATCAGAAACAGTTCAACCTATTTATCCTACTGAAATCTCCAGGGTTTTTTCTATAAGTTTTAGTCAAGGCCAAAGAAAGCTCTACAAGCAGCACAATCCTGGGAACGTTTTCTACATAATAGTTCCCAAGAGTCAAAATGTAAGAATGCTTTGATCCTCAAATGCTTTGAGGACACAGAAATTTGTTCCTTCATCATTTACTGTGGAAATATGTCCTCATTACATAAAATCTTAAAAAATATTTGTTTCTGCATTCTAGGTAAAAAAAAAAGAGTAAATTAATCTTTCCAATATCGGAATACTATTAAAAATTAACCCCAATTCCATGATGCAAGTGGAGACCAAGGGCTGGGGTGGATGGCAAGAAGCCACTTACTCATCAGTGCCCAGGTAACATCACATGTACCAATTAAATCACATCGTAACTGCCACTGCCTGGAGAGAATGAGGACACAATCAGGATTTCTAAATAGTTTGTGGCTTTGCTCTACTGGGAAATACACATTGAAGTTTCAAAGAAAAGTCTGAAAAACACAAAGAGAGGCACTTTGGGGCAAGAGTATCTCATCAGTGACTAAGCTGTCTGATGAAGAGGCTGAAAGGGGCAAATCAGCAAGGAAGTTTCCTGCCTTGCTATGAGCACTATCCCGCAGAAAAGGAGGCAAGGCAGCTGGCCAAGCAGAAAGATGGTAATGGAGGGAACTGTGAGAAACTCATGAACCAAACCAACTCCATCTTGTGACTCAATTTTGGATTTAGCTCAGTTCCCTTTCTAATTATGGGTCTAGTCCAATCTCCGTCTTGTGAGAAAACTCTACTGCATTGTTTGAACATAGCCTGGCATGACTGGGAAGCTGGACCATCTCTACTTGTTGCTTAGAGACCCTTAACTAAGGACCTAGATTATGCTGACCAGAAACCCAGTCAGATCTAAGGACTGATGTAAGAAGTTGTCTCACAATTATATATCTTAGGCAACCCATATATGTCTTATCTGAAAACTGGCCCTATACTGGTCAACAGTTACTGTTTCCTTGTTCCTTTGATTGAATACAGACACTTTGGGGGAAGGAGAAGTGGGACACCTCTTTTTTTTCTGATTTCAGGGAATTATACCTATTTGTTCTCCCCCTCCCAACTTGTAAAGTCCCTAATTGTTCCTCCAATTTAGAATAAGAGTATTAATTTCATATCCTGTTAATTGCTTCCTATTTTTAATGCGTAAAAATCTGTATCCCCCTGTATTCTAGGTCCAGTGCCAACTTTAGGAGACCTGATCCCAATTTGTTATGCAATTGGCGTGTGCTGCGTAATAAACAGATATGTGCAGAAGCTCAAACCTTTATTTCCTCAGTTATTTCAGATTCCACCTGCCACATTACAAATACTAGTCATCTGTTCTGGCCCAGGACCAGAGTAGATAAGATAACCATGATGCAGGTTAGTGCAAAGGAACTCTATGGGCCAGAAGAGAAACAGTGCCTCATGTGAGAGCTGAGTCACTCAGCTGAAGACATTCTGATTGGAGAATTCCCTGGCAATTTGATCAGACATTAAATAATCATTTCTCCTCTTTGACTTACCACATGTTCTACAGAAGCTCCTTTCCGGAGAATAATGGCATCTGTAAAGTCTGGTCTTTCTACATGAGGAATAGGAGAAAGACACAAAGGGAAAGAGAGTTAAAAGCCCTCAGCCTTTCAACAGTAGATTTTTTTTAAACCAGCTCATGCTTATGCCATCCTGTCCAGTTATACTGAAAAATGTCAAAGAAACAGAAAACCATTCACTAGATGCAAATGACTCATTTCCAACTTTCAGAATTATATTATCTCAGAGCTGGAGAGAGAGTTGAATTCATACATGAGCAAGAATCCCATCTATAACAGATAATCATTCAATATTTGCTAATCTGTCTCCAGCAAGGGGAAACCACAACCTCATTTCATGTGAAGAAAGCACTAACCACTAGAAAGTTCTTCCTTTCATCAATCCTCAATTTGTCTCTCTGAAATTTCCACCCATTATTTCTAATTTAGCCCTCTAGGGTAATAATTCCTCTTCCCCCATTAAAGTCCTGTAAAACCTCAAGAATATCTCCTGTCCTCCCTAAGTCTTCTCTTATCCAGGATAAACTTTCTTGAATCAAATTTCAAATGACATGACGTTGAGGCCTTTACCATCCTGGAACCTGTTTTGGTGGGAACTCCCCAGTATATCAGCCTTATGTCTTGAACACAATCTTCCAGAGGTAGCCTGAGCAAGGCACCAGCACAACTGTGTCCATGCCAGTCCCTAACATTGCTGCTGTTACTATTGCCTGAGGTGGCCCTGGCTTTCCTGGCTGTCATGTCACAGGGTGAACCCACAGAGAGCCTGAAATGCACTAAAACCCCATATCTTCTGAAGATGAACTGCTATCCCATCATGCCTTGTCCATCTTTTAACCCTGTGAATTTCACTTTTTGAACTGAAGTTTAAGATGTAGTATTTCGGCTAGACAGGGCTTCTTAAATTTTTTTCACTTGCAACCCCTTCAGCACTTCTTAAACTGTGGGTCGGTACCTCACATGGGGTCTTGACCCACAGTTTAAGAAGCACTATTCTTGGGGCAGCTAGGTAGTACAGTGGATAGAGCACCAGCCCTGGACTCAGGAGGACCTGAGTTCAAATCGGGCCTCAGACACATTACACTTACTAGCTGTATGACCCTGGGCAAATCACTTAACCCCATTGTCCAGACAAAAAAAAAAAGAAAGAAAAGAAAAAAAAAGAAGAAGCGCTAGTCTAGACTGCTGATATCAATGGTAGAAGGAATTTTCAGTGAGGAAATTCCCTCTACCAATGCAGACTGGCAGCTGTCCTACAGCTCCTAGTCTTATGGAACTTCCTGGGAGCAGGGAAGAGATGAAGTGATTTGCCCAGGCTTATACGACTAGAATGTGCACAGGCAGGACTTGAACCCAGATTTCCCTAACTTTCAGACTGCCTCCCCATATATTTATTCCTATTGAATGTCACTGTAGACTCTACTACCCAAACTCCTTCCTATCTGTCATCAGAACCACTAATGACTCTTCTGTGGGTCTAGCCATTCAACTGGTTCTAGGTCTACCCTGAATGGACCCACTACCCTTGAGCCCGCTCCTCTCCATTTTGTCCACAAAAGTTAACATGAGACACTTGGGTGAATGTTTTGTTACTAGCCAGATAAACTATACCTACAGCATAGTGTAGACACGACACTATTCTAACAGGCCCATGCCACCCTTTTGTATCCATCCTCTGCTACCTGTCCTTGCACAATTATCATCATAATGGTAACAGACATTTATGTGGCTCTAATTAAAGTAAACAAAGCATTTTATCCATATCCTATTATTTAAATCTTACTAAACGGGGTAAGCACTATAGATATTATCTGCCCCATTTTTAAGATGAGGAACTGTAACCCAGAGAGGTTAAGTGACTTGTCCACAGTCACACAGCCAGTGTTAGGATTAGAATCCAAATCTTCTATACATGTTTCTCAAAAATATAAGCTGGTTGATAAGTTACATGTGCATCCATAGCAGCCTCTTTAGATAATTCTCTTTTTCTTCTTAAACTGTTTCTTTTTTAATCATTGAGATTTCATTCTTGAGCATTTCACATCTCTCATGAGCAGACCTCCTTTGTAGAATTTTAGACTATAGGATCATGACTATCTCCTCTTTGAATCCTTTCAAATCTGGTTTCCTATTATTCAGGGTGTATGTAAGACTGTCCCTGGATTTTCTCTCCTTCTTTAGCATAAATTCTAAGGTAGAATCCTTACTGTTTCCTCTCCTCACCCCCCAAAGTTCCTTCATTTTTATTCTAGCTATAAGTTGCTTTGCTAGTAAGCATCAGATCCAAAAGAGAAATTTCCTGCTGGCTCTCTCACCTTCTGAAGCATGAAATTATCATTAAGGCAAATGAAGAATTTATTAGCAGCTCCTCTTTTGGCAGAGAGAAAACCTGAGATGACCCCAATGCCCCATTGCCAGTCGATCTATCCACCCTCTGTGCTCTCTTGCTCATTTCCTCTCTCCATCAGGGAGGTCTGTGGTATATTCTGAGGACAAGATCACTTGTCTGGTTCCTCCACTGATCTTTGCCCAAATGCTCTCCATCATACTTCTTTGCTCTGGTTCTTAGATCTCTTCACATGAGTATGTTTTCTTAACATACAGTGCTACTCCACTCTAATTTTACCTAAACTATTCCTTTCGAATGAGGTATGTATACTTTTCCAGAGTCATACTGCAGTGATAGGTCTCATCTTACTAAGTCTCCGTACGACCATATGAGGTCAAACATGCCTCTTTGTGCCAATATTCTAGTTTACCTCAATTATAAGCATGCTTTGAACATAGCAATATAGACATTCTGAGGCCACAGCTTTTATCAATTACTCCTTCCTTGGTTTTCTGGTGTTGTTACTGCTACTTCTTTCTACATTGTAGCTACTCTCTACCGCACTGGTATCAAACTCAAATAGAAATAGATCCCTGACACTGGCTACTTAGAAACCTATAAATTAACATTAGCTACACTGTATTACATTTTTATTTATTTTGTTAAACATTTCCAAATTACATTTTAATCTAGTTCAGGCAATACTGGAGAGTTTACAGGCTGCAGGCCTCGAGTTTGATGCCTCTGCTCTATAGTATCTAGCCTTTAAATGTAGGAAGAGTTTCCTCCTTTTTTTTCTTGGTTTAAAATCTTTTTGATTAAATTTTCAAGACTGTAAGTAAATATAGTCATACCAGGACTTATCAGGAAAACTACATTCTTGGTCAGGAGCCTGTTATTCCTTTATTTTAAACCAGAGCTTCTTAAACTTTTTCTACTCTCGACCCCTTTAGCACTTCTCAAACTGTGGGTCTTGACCTACAGTTTAAGAAGCGCTGTCATTTAAACTGCTTCCCAGAAATCCCAATTCTCTTCTCAGATGTTACCTTACTCAACTCATCACTTCCCACACCTGCCTTTCTCTTCTGAAACCCTAACTCTCCTTTGGCTGCAATGATGAAAACAACAACTATAGCCCTAAGCTCTTCAGTGTCTTGTCCAAGACTTCATAATCTTTAGTAATGCCTTCCAGATTCCTTTTGGCAGTGTGATTTGTGCTGACATGAATTACTGTAGCAATATATAGTGCACAGAAGTCTTCTAGTTTGACAAATCTGGGATAGTTTACGTTTCTTATCCTCAACACATGCTAAAGGAAGGTAGCAGATTATTGCTACCACTTTATGTTTTCCTGACATAGGACACGAGGATACGTAACATAATTCCTTGGAGTACGATCCACTGCTTCTTCCTTAGAAGGGAAGTTCATCCCCTTCAGGAAGGGCTTCCTATTTAAATAGTCCTTCTAAGTTCCTTTCTCCTGTGGGTCACATTTCCCCACCCTCTAAACTCCTGACACTGGCAGGATTCCCTTCTGCCTGACACCCTTTTGTCTGCCTCTCTTTTTAAAGGAGTAGGTCATTTTCCTCAAAGAGTGGACAGATATTCTTTGAACCTCTTTTTTCTTCTAGAAGAAAGACAAGCCTACACTTGTAGTGTGGCAAAAGTGCAAATATTAAACACTCTGCGAGTCACTATTCAATTCTCTTTACTCTCTGAACTTTTTGGAAATGAGATTCTCAGTTCTTTGCTCTTTTCGCTCATAGCTTCTTCCCTGGGCAACTTCTATGGCAAATTGTTTCCAAGGATCTTGTCAGTTCCAGAGCTGTTACTATTCGCTTTGCAAGCATTTTAACATCCAAACACAACTTCCTTACCCTTTTCTACCTGTCCTGTCATCCCTAGCCTACATCTCTCTTCACTTTCTCAATTAAAATTCTAGAAAAGGCTGTTGCTTCTGCTACCACTACTTGTATCTAACTCTCCTTTCATTTGTGGCTAAATCCTTTGCAATCTGGCTCTGGCCCTCATCACTCAACTGAAACAACTTTCTCCAAAGTTACTGACGATCTCATAAATGCCTAATCTAATGGTCTTTTCACAGGCCTTATCTTTCTCAATTTCTGTACAGTATTTGCTACTAGTGACCACCCTCTCCTGGATATTCTCTTTTCTCTGGATTTACATGACACTGGGATCTCTGTCTACCTGTCTGACCAGTCCTTCTTAGTCTCTTTGCTGGATCACCCCCCATATCCTGCTCCCTAACAGCGGGCAGATCCAAAGTCTGTTCTCTATCTTCTCTCACATGGTGATCTCATCAGCATATTTTGTGTGCATGTGTGTGTCTTTGTATGTATACACACACACAATCACCTGGGGGGGGGGGTGTAACTATTACATCTATTCCCCAACCACAACTCTTTAAAGCTCAGATTTAATGTTACTTGTGTATCATTTGGTGGTTCCCCCCTCCCCTAATGAATACATTTCTGGAACACCTCCAACAACCTTGATAATGAGAAAAGAGACAAGGAGGCAAGAAATAAAGTCAGAGATTCTATTCTACCACTCCTGTCATCTCAAACAGCTACAACAGGACTGAATATGGCAGGAAAAATAAAACTTTTAAGATATTTGTATTTACATGGCAAGCAGTGAGCAAGCAGCTGCTGAATCCAAATCTGGGAAGTCCTGTCTTCTCCTGCCTATAAGATCAATACTCAAAATGCAAATACTCAAAAATGCAGCACTATAGTCCCTGAGGCTGACAGGGTAACCCTGGCCCTCAGAATACAGCCAAAGGCCATGGAGAGAAAACCTGATGAGCCAGGAAGTTAAAATTCAGTGGTCTATAACTCTTGGTCTAAGGTGGGAGGGGATATTATTATTCTAAGTGTCACAGAAGGAAACCTCATCTAGGTGTGGCTCAGAAAGCACCAAAAGGGATAGTCTGAATTGTGCTGTCCTTCATATATAAAAGGAAAATTACTATTCCCCAATGGTAGCAGGATGAATTCTCTGAATTATTTTTTTTAATAATGGAAATGTTGTTGTTATTCAGTCATGTCCAACTCTTCATGACCTCATGGACCATAGCACACCAACAGTTTGTAGGGTTTTCTTGACAAAAATACTGGAGTGGTTTGCTGTTTCCTTCTCTAGTGCATTAAGGCAAAAAGAGGTTAAGTGACTTTCCTAGGGTCACACAGCTAAGTGTCCGAGGCCAGATTTGAACTTAGGTCTTCCTGACTCCAGGCCCAACACTCTACCCATTAAGCCATCTAGCTGCCCTAGTAATGCCAATAGGGTAGGATTATTATAAGATCCAACTTAAGAAAGGAAACATACCCGACCTAAGTAAGGGATACTCTTCCACTCCCACCCCGGTGCTCCTCAAAAAAAGAAAAAGAAATAAGAATAATTTGAAGAAATACATAAAGTTAACTGGTCCAATAGAAAATGTAGCTTTTCACCCAGGGGAAGGGCAGGGGAGTGGTGCTAGCATCACATACAGCTTACTAGCTCTAAGCACACTATGATGCCTGTCCAGGAAAGAGAAGGCCTGGTCCTCAACTTACGTCCTCTTTTTTTGGTGTAGATACATGTCAGGGCCAAGTATTCCCAAAGCATCTCCAGCAAGAAGTCCAGGTTGAGCTTCATCCCGCAACTACAAAGACAAACCACACACACATGGACCCACATACATACCCCTAAACCAGTGACTGTGTGAGTAGTTAGTTCACAGTTGGGATAGATGCAAATGGGAACATGAAAGTGTTAAGGCCCCTTCTGAAGCAGAAATTCAGAGCTCATATCTTACCCATCAAGCCCCAGGGGTGGGAGTAGGGGGTTGAGGGAGTGAGATGAGAATGGGGAGACGGGATGGGAAAGTCAAGAAACAGTAGAGGAGATTTTAATTAGTGCCATAATCAACAGCCCTTGAACAAGTGGACAATGTATGACATTGGGCTAGTTCCAGAGTGTGGAGACACCATTATCTTTGAATAGTTTATTTTATACATAATTGTCTCAAGGATAGCCTGAAGGTGGGTTTTCTCTAATGTAAACTGCATGGATGTTAGAATAACTATTTTGCACCCCATCTCTCAGGGCTTTTTTTTTTTGCTTATTTCCAGGATTATGATTGTGCTCTGAATGGGCAAGAATTCCATAAAGTCTGACCTCCATGTAAGTGGCGCTTTACTTTCTCGTCACAAGAAAATGGATGACAGAGGTAGGGGCATGATCTCCAGGGTCTTACCTAATGACAACACTGTTGGGCTTTCGTGCCAGGCGATCAACTTCCTCCATTGAGATCTGATCAATTTTGTTATAAACCTGATTCCAAAAGGGAAAGGGAAAAGAGGTAGGAAAAGAGGGGTCTTTAGGAAAAACAAATCCATTCAAATAAAAATAGTCCTTAACTCATTCCTGGCCAACTGCTTGTTTTTTAACTTATCCAAGTACTAGGGGAAGGGGAGGGAAGGGAATATGCTTTTATACGGAACCTACTGGGCTGAGTATTTAAAAAAATATATATCATCTCATCTGATCCCCACAACGACCCTGGAAATGGGTCCCATGTCACAAATGAGGAAACTGAGGGAAACAGAGGTTAAGTGACTTGCCCAAGGTCACACAGCTGGTAGTGTTTGAGGCTAGATGTGAATACAGGTCTTCCAGACTCTAGGCCCAACATTTTATCCCACTGTGCCACCTAGCTGCCTCTAAAAGAGTATTAGAGAGTTCTGCATCCCAAAAAACACAACATCAGCATCTTAATAAAGAGCTGCTGGGGTTAAGACTTCCCAATGCCTCCAAAATAAAGATGTATTTAGTCCAGTGATCTGATTTTAAACTTTAAAACTCCTATTTGTATTATAAACCAAACAAAACAAATAAGATGCTGGATGTTTCAGTGAAAAGGAAAGAGAGCCTCAACTTCCTTCTCTTTTCCTAGGAGTCAATTTTTTAACAAGGAAATAGCAGGTAGTACCGTACTGTACATTTCTTAGAAATTACAAAAATGGACTGAGACAAAAAGGATGTATTGCATGGCCAGTGTTTACTGAAGAGAATGGGATCCCTCAGATCTTGGTGTCACTCTCTGGTCTCAGTGTGAAAGCCTCCACCTGGAATTCAGGTACCACTTACATATAAGCAGGGCATGTACACTCGGTTGCCAACAATCACATCAATAAACTCATCTGGTGAACAGTCTTCTCGGAAGAGAACTTCAGCATTGAAGATTTCTGAGGTGGTCAAAATTAAGGTTAATGAACATGCTTTTTCTGATCAAGGAACTAGGTGGTTCTCAAATGCGAATCAAAGAATCACAGAATTGGAAAGGACCTCAGAAGTCATTTAGTCTAATCAGACACTCCCATCCCACCCAGGGAGAAGCCCGTCTTCCACAAAGGCTCTAACTAGAGCTCAGTTCAGAGTTCCTTGGCCTGAGCCTCAATGAACAATACAATAAATAGCATCCTTCTCCAGCCTCTCCTTCTGTTGCCCTATTGTCAACATTGGCCTTAAATGCTTTCAAGTGACAGGGAGGTCAAGATGTTGGTGGGCGGCCCTAATTATCACAAAGTTCTCTAACTTATTCTTACCTTGAAGTCTGCCTCGCTCTTACTTCTACCTATATTTTTCCTTTCGAAAAAGAGAATAAATCTAATCCTTCTTTCACACAAACATCTTCTCTTGACAAAACACACATCCCAAGTTCATCCAAACAATCCCCATTAAAATAAAGTCAATGGTGCCTTCACCAACTTGGTCTTTGTTCTCTAGCTATACTTTACGGTCTATCTTAACATGCAGTACCCAGAACTGAACCCAGCACTCCACAAATATGGTAAGCAATAGGAATTTACTAGATTACTAACTTCAGTTGGGAAACCCTATGCTTATGCTTTAATAAATAAAATAAGCACATACAGGATACTCCCAAAGTCTTAGAGCAGTTTTAAACCTACACAAGCTTTAAATTGCACTCAAACTTTTAAAGCACTCAAGGTGCTTTAAAAACCTTGGGATTCTGAACTACAAACAGGTCGCTCCTTTTGGCCAATACAGTGCGCTTTCCAAGAACAGCACTCAACATTCAGGATATGGGTGGGCAGACAGTAACTGGTCTGCTCCTGCCTATCAATTCCTACCTCCAGGCCCCAGAAATCCCTTCTAAAATTGCCTTCTACCTCAGTCAGGGCAGCCAAGATTTAAGGGGCCCCCATTTCTTAGATCCTTTGGGGAAAGGATACTATATTCATGGAGGATGAGCTGCACCAGCTTTTCAGAGCACTGGCTCAGTGTGACTGTTGAATTGAAGGAGATCCCACCACCTTTCTTTGGCTGAGGGTGGAGAAGGAGAGAAAAAGGAAAACGTGTTTAAATACGGAGATCATTTCAGAACGAATTCCTCCTGTCTTTCAGCCCATGCAAACAAACCCGAAGGAGGCCCGCCGTCCTCACCTTGAAGTAGATATTGGGTCTGTGTTTGTTGAGCCGGATCCCCACAGATTCCAGCTCCTTCTCCAACAGGGACCTGCACAGACACAACAAACCCAATGACTCTTGGCTGCAGTTCAGGCTCCAGCAATCTAAGTCCCTTCTATACACCTGAAAAGGAGAATGCCACCACTTTGACCTTGGACCATCCTTTATTACGTGACTCAATCAATCAATCAATCAACAAACACGTGTTAAGCATCTACACGGTGACAGGCACTGTGCTAAGTGCTGGGTATACAAATACAAAGACTGAAACAATTCCAACTCTCAAGAAGCTCACATTCTAACAAGAGATAACAGGTACATTTAAGTACAGACAATAAATAAAGACTAAGTTCAAACAAATACAAGCAGTTAAAAGCACAATGTGTTCAAATACAGATTTTGTACAAAGGGCTATTCCATTAAAATATCAGATCTCCCTCTCCCCCATTTAAAGGAGGATGAAACGCAAGTAAAAACCATGCCCTTCTTTTTCCAAAGAAGCTCAGAGTTGGTCCTTGGCAGCTAAAAGCCAGGAAAACAGACCAATTTAGTGGCTGTGGGTGAAGCTGGAATACCTTGCCAACACATGCGACCTCAGATGGGAACACCCGTAGCCCAGAGGGGTAGGGAACCAATGATCCAAGGCCCAGTTTCTGCAAGTCTTCAAGCAACAGCTTGGCCGTGCTGGCCAACTCTCCATAGAGAGTGAATGAAGGCCCCAGGCCAAGCTCACTGTGCCCTGGTAGAAGTTCAATAGAGTTCCCATTCCAAGTTCCTTGGCCAGAGCTCCTACAACATCCCTCTCCAACCTTTCCTCCTACTCTGCTGCTGTAAACAACTCTTTTACTCCTGAGAGCTTGATATGGAGCCACATATTGGCTAGATCTTACTTCATTCCCACTCCTGTACAATTATGTCATTAATCCAATCCAAGTGGAAAGATGAGTTACCAACAGAAAACTGAGCTAACTCTCCTGCTGACTAGGTGTCCAAGATTCCAACACTTCTACAGAAGGGCTAGCAGCATGAGAAGACTCTTCTGGCCAGACTTTCTTTAGGGGCTACATTCGGCACAGCTGCTACTAAAAGTAAGAGAACTACCCAGCAGATAACCAGGCACAGGCATGCAGCAGCAGCATTCTTTGGTGCCAAGCTGCAGTGGCATTAGCACAGCACCTGTTCCAGCAAAGGAATTCTGGCCCAAATTCAATCCATTCCCTCCCTCCACACACTGACCTCTGCACTTCTCCCTTGGTGGCATCCAGCATCATGATGACAACATCAGCTGTCCTAGCCACAGCAATCACCTGTCGACCTCTGCCTTTCCCTGGGAGAAGCAGAATATGGAATTATGTTCATCCCTCTTCCTAAAGGAAGGTGTTAGAGGTTACCCAACAATCTTACCACCTTTATCACTTATCACTTTATCAGTGGCTCTCTGCAGAGGCATGGCAACTCAAAACCACAAATTAACATTGTCAAACATTTCCCAACTATATTTTAATCTGGTTTGGACCACACTCAGTTTTGCAGACTGGAGACAAGTCTGACACTTCTGATCTACCCAGCTGTTCTAGGGACACATTCAGAGAATAAGAGAATCTCTGAGTTGAAAGAGACTCTATTCAGGCTCAGCAACAATAACAGCTGTGGAAGGGGTTTTCCTCAGGACATCAAAAATTAAAAAACACGAGTGAACTCAAAGTGGAGGGCAAAGGGGGAAGAGAGACATCGTGGCTAGTCTGGAAGCCAGAGTTAGTGACAGCTTAGTGCACACCCAAGGGCCATCAAATTTGAATGGACCATGGACTGCATTTCTTTTTTCTATTTTAAAATCATTTTTATTTATTTTGTTAAATATTTCCCAATTACATGTAAAAAAATTCTTAATAACCATTTATTAAAATTTTGAGTTCCAAATTCTCTTCCTTATCCTCCCATTAATAACTCCAGTGGAGGACTATTCTCAAAGCTGCACCACCATTATCATTATATTACCACCAAATTTCCTTACAACACTAATGAATTTCCAACATCTCGGACCTGTCATAACTATCACCCAACTTTGGAGAATAATATAAATGGAGAATCTCATCAATTTTCTCCCCTCAAAAGTCACTGTGAGGAAGAACCTGGCCTGGACACTTCAATTCCCCTTCTCTTCCTTTACTATGCTCCTGCCTCAGTGATTATGAATAAAAATCAAATTAATTTTCCTACCTTGTGCAGCACCTTCAATGATTCCAGGAAGATCTAAGAGCTGAATATTGGCTCCTTTGTACTAGGGCAGAAGAATGAAAAAGGTAAGAGGCTGTGGGATGCTCTGCTGATTGCCCCTTGAAAAAGCTTTCCTTAATATGGACTAACAACCCCTTAAGTCTTAAATCAAACACAAGCCTAAACAGCATTTAAGTACAGGAGAGTCCACATAGATTTCCCAAAATGTTTCTTCAGGCTTAGAGAACGCTCAATAGAAGCTTTTAAAATTTCATTCATAATGCTGAAAGTATAATGTCGCTATTTCAAGAACCAAATGCTACCAAACCCAATCCTAGGCTGAAAAGTACTTTACTGATAGATAATCTTTGAAAAGCTAGCCCTGTATTGGCATAAAAAAGAAAAGCGTTTCAAAGTTTTCAACCTGGGACAGGAACTCTCTAGTTCCATTTTACACTCATCTAAAGATCATCCCACACTCTAAACATCTTCTTACAATCATGTCATCATGGGAGAGTCAAGACTATATAACAACAATAGTAATGAGAGCTAATAGTTATATAGCACCTACTACGTACCTGGCATTGTGCTCCCTATATCTCTTGAAATAAAGAAGTTATTTCGACAGATCACAATACAGACTAATGATCTAAAGCATCATTAAAAAAAATTTTTTTAATGAAAAAACAACTTTTTTACTGGAACTAATTAGTAAGTTGAAAGAGTCTCCTTACTGCTCTGCCAGACCTCTATGCAATGAGTAAGACTTACAGAAGCAGTGATGGCAAGCTTGGGGCAGTATTCTAAGGCTCTAATCCAGGAAGCTGCCAGAAACTCTTTAAGGCCTCAAAACTATAGAGGCCAAAATTATAGGGCAAGGCAACTAAACCCAGCCTCAATAACAGTACAAACACCAGACGTGCAAACACACACTCACACACTCCCATTCTTTTTTTGCTCCCTTTAGAATTCAGACTTACTTCAATGACACCTGGGATACATGTCAGAGTGGTGAATTCATAGGATGCAGCTTCACTGGCCGTGGATGTCATTAAGCTCAGGAACGTAGACTGAAAAGATGAGAACATCCCATTCAGGAGTTAATACCCAACTCCCACACTTTCAACCCCTCTAGGTTTATTGGCAAGCAGCCTCAAAAGCCTAAAAGACCCTGCTACAAAGTAGACTAGAGAAAGAAGGGGTAGGGGGGATGGTCAGAGAATGAAGAACACGAGGAAAATAAAACTCTGTCATTTCACTCATTTGACCTCAAGAGATAACACACCCACATGAAATTTACCATCACATTTTCTGACTTTTTAAGAGAAGAAAATTATAATTTGGAAGTCAAATATTTAAAATCACAATTCCTCTTTTCTTCCCCTACCCCCACTTTAAAAATAATTTCATAGTCATTGTTGAAGGTAAAGCCAGGCACATTAATGCACTACTGGTGGAGCTATGAAGTAACTGGTCCAACCATTCTGGAAAGCAATTCAGAATTATGCTAAGGAAGAGACTAAAATGCCCATACTTTTTGACTCTGAGATTCTACTGCTAGGAATATACCCCAAGGAGATCAGTGATAAACAACTCATATATACTAAAATACTTAAAGCAGCAATTTTCATAGCAGCAAATAACTGAAAACAAAACTGATGTCCATCAATTGGAGAATGATTAAACAAGTTGTGGTACATGCAGTAATAAAGTCATATTCCTGCACTGTAAGGAACAATGAATACAGAGAAACATGGGAAGAAATACTAACTGATATAAAGTGAAGTAAGCATGGACTAACAACAATGTAAATGGAAAGAAAAATAACAAAATAATCAAAACTGAATGCTGCGAAATTTAAAGACAAAGATTGGGCCCAAAGAAGAGCTAAGAAAATGCACCACCTCGCCTTCTTGGCAGGGGGCAGGAAAAGCAGGAATAGGGAACTATGGTGCAGAACACTGTACATAATAATGTCAGACTTTTTCATTGTGTTGTTTAGATTTGCTTTATTTTTTTCTACCTCATTTTTATTCTTTATTATAAGGAAAGGTAATTTTGGAGGGTGAAGGGGAATGACTATACTGAGAAATGTTTAAAAATATCAACACAACACTTAAAAACATAACTCCAGTATATTATTCTTTCATATACATTTTGTTGTTAATTTATCAAATTCTATTAAGAAGGACCATTTGTATTTTAGTAGGAACTCAATCATCTATGAATTAGTAAGTAAATATAGTGAATGTATTGCTATATCTATCTCAATCAATCCATTTACATGGGATTATGACTTCAGTTTTCCTTTATTTCTGTTAAAATTGTTTTACAGTTCTTTTTATATTAAATTGAACAAATATTCATGGAGCCCTTGCAAGGTGCTACACTAGAATAATGATGACAAAATAGCTCCTGCCCACAAGGAGCTTACATTCTACTAGGGAGACACAACATGCCCAGAGATAAATAAGTACAAGGTGATTCCAACACTTAGGGGGATCAGAAAGATTACATGCAGGAAGATGGACATTCCAAGTATGGGAGATGATGTTATGTGTAAATGCAAAAGCAGGAGAGAGAATGTCATTGTTTGGGGAACAACTAACAGAACATGTTAGCTGGGAAAATAGGCTACGCAGAAGAAAAAGTAACATGAACCAAGGCTAGAAAGACAGGCTGGGCCAGATTGTAGAGGCTCTTAAATGCCAGGTTAAGAAGTTGTATTTTATTAAAGAGTCAGCGAATTTAAAGGAAATGTGCAAAGGCTGCAGCTCTTAAAGAGCATGTATAAGATGAAGAAAAAACAATACAAAGACAAATGACAAAGAACCAGAAGAGAATGTTTTTGTCACCAAAGCCCTTGGAACTGTGAAAGGGTTCAATGTCAGAAACTGATTCATTTTATCAATGTACATGACATTAAAGAAGAAGCATTACACCAGCTTGGCCACTGTACCCTAAGGACTCTGTGGGATCTTTCCATGTGACTGGAGGCTGAAACCTTCTACATGTTCCATCTCCTCTCATTAAAATGTGAGCTCTCTGAGGGTAGGGACTGGTTTCCTTTTCTATCTGTATCCCTGGCACTCAGCATGGTGCTCTGTACAAAATGCTTTATTCACTTTTGTTCATATACTGAGAAGCAGAACTGTTCCAACTTTCAGAAACATTTTCCAAGTCTACTTTTGATTATAGCCCATTAGTTTTCAATAGTATTATATTACATATTAGAAATTATTTAAACTGTAAAAAGTTATAAAGTGTATTGTCTAAATAAAAAAAATAATTATTTTACTTTGTCCCAAGTACTTTGGTCATCATTGTAATCATAGGATAGCATCAAGAAGGGTTGTAAAAACAAAGAATCACCCAATATCCTGACCTCATGAACAAAGATAACTGATGCATCTACACTTGAATTCTGTGTTCCATAAAATGGAACTAAACAAACGAAACTAAGATGATCAGAAGGATTGAGAGAAAGAAGGGGTTGCCTTATGAGGGCAGACTTAAAAACAGATTAGGGTTTAGTAATCTAAAAATAGAAAGACTGACAAGGGTCAGGCTAAAAACTACTAAAATTACGAATGGCATAGACAAGGTGACCACAGAGTTGTTGTTGCTTTTTTTAAAACCAAATCCTAAAAACTTAGGACCACATCGTACCCTTTAATACTTGAGTAAAATAAGCTAAGGACCAATAAAATAAAAACTAATTTATATAGCAGGCAAACTTGTGGAGCTTGTTACTCCAAGATATGGCAGGCAAAAAATCTAAAAGGGGGCAGCTAGGTGGCGCAGTGGATAGAGCACCGGCCCTGGAGTCAGGAGGACCTGAGTTCAAATCCAGCCTCAGACCAAACACTTGACACTTACTAGCTGTGTGACCCTGGGCAAGCCACTTAACCCTGACCGCCTCAAAAAAAATGGAGTGTATGCTGTTTGAGGAAGCTAAGTGGCAATGGATAGAGCACTGGCCCTGGAGACAGGAGGACCTGAGTTCAAATCCAGCCTCAGACACTTGACACTTACTGTGTGACCCTGAGTACTTAACCTGATCACTTAACCCTGATTGCCTCAGCAACAACAACAACAAAGGCCAACTGGCAAATAAAACTGGAGCTTGAGAAAAATATTTAGATCTTGGAGTTAAATGTACTGAGACGATAACAGAACCTATGGGAGCTGAAGAAGAAACCAAGAAGAGTGCAGATGAAGAAAAGTAAAACTCTCATAGCCTAACTCTGAGGACACCCACAGTCAGTGGTTAAGACATGGATGGTGATTCAGCAAGGGGGACTGGGGAGTGGTCAGACAGATCGGAGAACTTCTAGAGAGCAGAGCCGTGTCATGAAAACCTAGAAGGAAAAGACTAGCTAGGAGAGAAGAGGTTGATCAACAGTGTCAAATGCAGATGAAAAGTGAGAAAATAACACTAGCTTTGTTAATTAGGAGATTATTTGGGGGATGGGAGAGAGAAGAGATTGAACAGTTTCAGTTGACTGATGAGATCTGATGCTAGGCCGAAAGAGGTTGAGGAGTGAGAAGAGAAGAGGTAACAATGCACTCAGAGACATTTCAATTGTGCCTTTACTGCTATTACAAAGAAAAAAACCAAAGGAATGAAATTCTAAGGGAGGGCATTGATTGGCATTGTCAGCAACAAAAATCAGACAATACTGTATAGTGAATAGTTTAGACATTTGACTCCCTAAAGTCCAGGATGCTGAAGTCAAATCCACTACATGGACAAACAACACACATGTAATTAGCTTTTATGTAAACAAGTCCAATATGCCCCATATTAAGCAATCAATCAACAAGCATTTAAGCACCTACAGTGTGCCAGGCACTATGGATACAAAAAGAAAAATGAAACAGATGCGATCCTCAAGGAACTTATATTCTATCTAGGGATACAATATGCACATAAATACATACAGACTATGTAAAAATAAAATACCCTGGGAATGCAGGGAAGAGGGGAGAGGGATCAAAAGCTGAAAGGATCAGGGAAGGCTCTGTGTAGAAGGCAGTATTCAATCTGAGTCTTAAAGGAAGTTAGGGAATCTGAGAGATGGAGGTGAGGAGGGATTTCAGGCATGGGGACAGTTAGTAGAAAGGCAGGAAACGGAGCGTCATGAGAGACAGGAAATGGAAATGCCATGTGAGACACAGAAAGAAAGCCAATCTGGCTAGACCACAGAGTAGAGGAAGGGAAGAAATGTATGACTTCTTAGGTAAGGAAAGGTAGGATTAGAGAGGTGGAGACTTGAGACAGGGTGACCAATTAGGATGCTATTTCACAACAGTCCAGGCAAGAGGTGATGAGGGTCTGAAGCAAATAACTTCAATCACTGACCTTACCCACAGAAGGAAAGCCAATCAGTGCCACTCGGGCATCTCCAGATTTCATCACATCGAAGCCTTCTCCTTTGGTGGAGGCAGATTTGGAGGGTTCCAAGAGCTGTGCTCTGTACTTGGCAAGTTTTGCTTTCAGCAAACCAAGATGGTACTCAGTAGCTAAATATCACAAAACCAGACACTGAAGATCAATATCCATGTAATCAAAAACATGCAGGTAAGAAACAAATGAATGTCACGAGGCACTGACTGGAAATATTTAAATTGAGGAGAGATAATGGTCACAGCATCTAAAATGTAACTGAGGAGCTGTAACTATCTACATGTGAATAATAGGTTCAAATAGTAGTACCTTTTGGTTTCATCCAACACACAGCTGAAAAGGAAAAGAACAAACCCAACTGCTAAGCACATTCTATTTTACTCAAGCTACTGCACCAGACCAACTCACTTCCCACTGAAGTGCTTTATAAATATCAGTTTCAAGTGTCATTTCCTTTCAGCAAGCACTGTTTAATACTTATGCCAAAGGACCCTTCTTCCCCTTCCAACCTCAGCCTAAACTTCTACTGTAGATGAATGCAAAATAACTTTGGGGTAGTATCTACCTAAAGACCCAGGACTTCAAGGTAGGCAGTACTATGAACACCGGGCCGACAAACAGGACAAGTCTAAACTTTAAAGGCTCATTTCCTTTATCAGCAAATCTAAACTCCTCTGCCTGCTTTGTGAGGTCTTTGATAAGCTGGCCTTAAACTACTGAACCTTATTGACCACAGTTCCTTAACATCTTCCTTTTCTGGGAAGCCACTGGGATGGCATCCTCACTATCTACACTGGCAAAGCTAATCAGAACCATTCCCTCAAACAGGTCAAACATTCCTGCCTTCATGCGTTCTCTCACTTCTCAGATATACTTCTAGGTCCCTTTCAGATGTCACCTCCTACAGGGAACCTTTCTGACTATTACCAGTTCTCTTTGGTCCATCATCTCACTTACAAACTACTACGGGATGCTGCCCTAGCTTCAATTTTGTTTCATGTGGATTTTTTTTTTTTGGTCTCCTCACGCTCTTGCAAAATAGAATAGCGTATTATATGTGGCAGGCCTTCAGTAAATGTTTGCTGAATGATTAACTGGAGATGGGGTAGGATATTATACATTTCTATCCTCTAATTTCTCATAGGATCGAAGATTTCGGGCTGGAAGGGCCTTTGAGCCACCATCCGGCCCAATTCTCTATTTTTTTTTTAACAGATGAGGACGCTGAAGCCTCGAGGAAAAGTGACTTGCCCAAGGTGACAAAAACGTTGGATGTCATCTAATTCAACTCCCTCATTTTACAGGGGAGGAAACTGAGGCCCAGAGAGACGATACCTGCCCAAGGTCACACTGGTAATAATCGGTGAATCCAGTACTCGATCTCAGGTCCAGTGGCTCTAAATTCGGCCCTCTTTTCCACCATACCGCACAGTAAACAGCCGGGCAGGCATTTGAACCCAGGTTCTCGGGCCACCAATCATGTGCTCTTTTCCCCGGCACCCCACCGCTTGTGCGGACCCCATCTTTCCCATAAGGCGCCCCCCTATTCAAAGACGACGGTGAGACCTGGGGAGTCGGGGTTCCGACCCCACCCCCGTCGGTCACCTCCGCCCGGCCGCGCTTCTCCCGTATCGCCCCGCCCATTTCACAGACGGGGAAACCGAGTCAGGCGGGGAGGCATGAGGCATAAGCCCGCAGCCCGCAGCCCGGAGGCAGGGATGCCCCGCGATCTCTACACCCGGCACTCACCCTTGTTCTTCTGGGTCCGGGCGATCTCCTTCTCGATCTCCGAGATCTTCTCCAGGATGCCCATGGCGGCGGCGGCAGCGGTGACGGCAGAGGAAAGGCTGCAAGTGAGGGCCGGATGCCGGCGGCCGGAAGCCAATGCCGAAGAGCTCCGCCACGGCCCGCCCCCTCCGCACACGCAGGCGCCTCCCGGGTGCTCCCGGCAGCGGCACTCGGGCGGCCGACGCACAGCGTCACCCCCTGCGTTCTGAGTTCCGCGTCTGAGGGTGGTCCCGGCTGAGGGACCGTGCTGGGAGCTCTGCTGCTCTCCCGATAGGGCTGATGGCTTCCCCGGTCTCCCCTGCTGGCTCCCCGGTCTCCCCTGCTGGCTTCCCCAGCTTTCCTTACGGAAAGTCTCGACCTCCAAAGCAAGGTCCGCCGACCCTCTCCTTTTACACAGGAGACTGAGGCCCGGAGAGGGGAGTGCAGAGGGCGCGATGCTTGTAGCTTGGAGACCGGGCTTGGAAGCTTGGCTCTGGCCGAGGCAGCGACGTGGCACCATGCAAGAGTGCTGGACCGGGGAGTTAAGAAGCCCTGAGTTCGAATCCTGTTCGAGGCATTTCTCTGATCCTTAACATTTGGTGGTGCAGTGGTTAAAGTGCTGTCGAGCTGGAGTCAGGAAGACCTCAATTCGAATCCCACTCAGTGGCCTAGCTGTGTGACCCTGGCCTAATCACTTAACCTTTCCCCATCTTTAAAAAAATGGGGATAATAATAGCAACTACCTTATAGGGTTGTTGTGAGAATGAAATGTGATAACATTAAAGGGTTTACAGACCTTAAAGTGCTATCCAAAAGTTAGGTACTATTATTTTCCTTATTTCATCCTCATTTTCTGTAAAATGAGATTAACTACTTGAAACCGACCTCACAGAGTGGTTGTGAGAAAGATGCTGTGACAAGTCATCCAAAAGCATTTATTAATCCCTATGTGCCAGGAACTATGCCAGGTACGGAGGGTAGTGACAGCACTGTATCTACTCTACTACCAAGTTGCCTAGGATCAGAGAAATGACTGGGGCAGAATTTGAACTCAGAGTTTTCTAACTCCTAGTCACATAGCTTCCTGGGCTCGAGCCAAGATTCAAAGCCTTGTCTCCAGGAGAGGAGAGGGGGAATCCTACCCTCAGGAATTCACTTTCTTGTGGGTCAAACACCATGTAAATAACTAGATAGAAGTTCCATACAGAGTAGATGAGAGGTGATCTCAGAAGGGAAGGCACAAGTAGTGGGGCAGGAAGGGCAACTTTCTGTAGGAAGTCAGATTTGAGCTAAGATTTAAAGCCAGGAAGATTAAGAGGTGAGAGGAGGGAGGGCATTCCAGTTAACGGGGCACAGCTAGGGCAAAGGCAGAGTGATGGAAAATGGAGTATAGTTCTCCGGCAAGTAGGCCAGTGCTTAGAACCTAGATCTTCAGCTAATTACATTGGAGTTAAAACTTCCCTGTACTTAGTATCTTCACTGGAGAAACTGGCAAACCACTCCAGTATCTCTGCCAAGAAAACATCATGGACAGTACTAGTGTGCTATGGTCCATGAGCTCACAGAATCAGACAAGACTAGACAACAATAATACCTTGACTGAATGCTTTGTAGAAAGAGGAAAATGCCAGAGAAACTATTGACTTCACATTTCCCTCTTTTAGGCCTGGCCCTGGCTGTGGAGGATGTAACACCATAGAATATTAGAACTGGAAAGGACCTGAAAAGCCATCTATTTCAGCCTTTCTTTATTTTTCACATGTGGAAACAGGATCTGAGGAATTAAATTACTTATCCAAGGTCACACAGCTAGCTAATGTCATGTTTGAGACTAAAATGCAAGACTTCCTTGCCCTTTTCTGTTAGTTATCCACCCAAGTGTTAACATACCACCTCTTTTCCCCAGGATGTCAAGGGTTCTGCAAGTTAAAACCTTTCCGTCCCCCCATCCAAAAAAAGTCATTAGCTTTCTCTTCCCAGGACTTCCAAAGAACCTTGAGAAATGCCCCAGAGCAGGTTCCAAAGAGGCAATACTTATGAAGGAATTTTGATAAAATTAGTAGGGATGAAAGCCAGATCTCGTGAAGCAGAGCTGTGTCCCCTCTATGAACAATTATATCCTCACCAATCATTTTCCATATTTACCTAACAGGGGTTACTTATTCCAGAATAGGGTCACAATTCCATAGATCCCTATCCTTGAGGAATTTACATTTCAGATCTAACGGAGTCTGAATGCAGATCAAATCATACCTTTTTTTCCACCTTATTTTTGTTTTTTTTGTTCAGTGTTTTCTTTCACAACATGACTAATGACTGCACATGTATAACCTATATCAAATTGCTTGCCTTCTCAATGGGGGAGGGGAAAGAAGGGAAGAATTTGGAAATCCACATTTTTTAAAACATTAAAAAAAATTTAATGCTGTGTATGATGTACACAGCAATGTAATTGGGGAAAAATAAAATATTACATAATTAAGTTTACATTTCAGCGGAGGGAATGGATAAATATGATATGGAATGTAATGGGGCAAAGTAATCTAGGAAAAACAAGGAAGTAAAACTCATTTTTAGCTGGGGGTGTCAGGGAAGGCTTCATGGAGGAGTAGTGTACCTGAGCTGGACTTTAAAGAAAATTATTTCAACAAGCAGAGAAAGAAGAGGAGTGCAATCCATGGATGAGGCAGGCCTGCTTGAGTTTGGGGAGGCAGTAAAATAAGATAAAATCTGTTAAGTGATTAGTCCAGCCTGGTTGGAATATAGAGTGTATGAAGGAAAGTAATATGAAATCCAAGTAGGCTGGAACCAGATTGTAGTAGAAATTGCATGCCAGGCTAATTTTATTATATCCTATCAGATTTTGAGCAGGGGAATGACATGGCCCACCTGTATATTAGAAAGATGGTTTTGATTAGCTGTATGATTGGTAGGGAGTTTGGAGATGGGGAGACCAGTGTGGAGTCTGTTGTACTGGGCAAAGCAAAGATAATGATAATGGCCTGACTTTAGGAGGTAACTGCCATGTGAGCAAAGAAAAGTGGACAAATTCCAGAAATGCTTGGAATTAAAATCAACAGCATTTGGGGGAGAAGGAAGAGGTAAAGAGAAACTAACCATTTGATCTTGGGTGTCTGGTTGAAGGACAAGAGCAAATACTACTTAATCTTTCCAGGCTTCAATTTGGGGTGAGTTTTGTTTTCTTTCAAAGTTTTTCTTGCTTTGTCAGGAAGATGTTTTTTCACAATCACATGCACAACAAATATGCAGTCTAACTTGACTGCCACTGATTTCAAAATAGCTTCAAGGCCCAACAACTTATTTCCTTGATGTCATCAAAGCACTGATCGCTTTCAGCCAAAGCAATTCAGCCACTTTGATACCTACTAAATAATAGCTAGGGGCAGCTAGGTGGCACAGTGGATAAAGCGCTGGCCCTGAACTCAGAGTACCCGAGTTCAAATCCAACCTCAGACCAAACACTTGACACTTACTAGCTGTGTGACCCTGGGCAAGCCACTTAACCCCAATTGCCTAAAAGTAAAAAAAATTAAAGAAAATAGCTAGCAATTACATAGTGCTTTTTAACATTTGTAAAGTGCTGTGAAATGTCATTTTATTCTCACAACCCTGGGAGGAAGGTGCCATTATTCCTGTTTTACAGGAGTTAAGTGATGTGCCCAGGTTCACACAGCATCAGAGGACAGATCTGAATTCAGGTTTTCCTGACTCCAGGTTCAGCTGCAGATCCACAGCTAAAGACGAATTCTATTCCAAGTCAGTATCAGATTACTGTGCTTACTAGCTATGTGACCTTGGACAAAGTCACTTCACTCAACCTGAGCCTATTTCCTAGTATTAAGAAAGGTATCAGAAGGGCTAAAATTTTGTCTGGGCTGCTAGTGTTTCAACTGTTTTGGATGCAGCAAAAAATCAAATAGTACATCTGTATTTAAACCCAGGATTCTAAGGCAATTGCTCTTTTCATGACCCCACCTTGCCATACCTAGCATAAAATTTAGCACAGAAGAGGGAAACCATGAGGAGGCAAGTCACCTCCATCCTGAGGACTATCAGACATGGCTCATCAGTGAAGTGTAAAGCTGGAGTACTCCTGGGTGTCTTCCTCTAGTTTTTTATACACACACACACACACATATATGTGTGTATATATGTACATATACATATATATATACATGCATGCATGCATATGTGTGTGTGTGTGTGTGTGTGTGTGTGTGTGTGTAGCTCTCCACCCTCCAAGAATGATAACTGCATTCCTCAAGCTCATTTTCACTTCATGCCTTTTTGTCACCCCAAAACTAAGCATAATACAGAAAGGCAGAGGAAGTCAGTGACTTGCCCACTATAAAACATTAAGAGAACCAAGCAAGGAAGGAAAACTATAATACAAACTTTGGATTTTCTAGCAGTTAAAGGTCTTGAAAGATCACATGAACAAGTGGTTTCAGATCTTGAAAAGGTGTTCCTGAGGAAGTTTTACAGACTGCTATTCAACTCCCAGAAGTTTTTTTCCTAATGGATTTAATTATCAAGCTTCCTGTAATTTCATCACTGAAGCAATTTTAATGCCTTTCTTGGAGTTTTAATGGAGTAGATATTTATAACTTTTGTCCTGTGTTGCAGCTACTTTCATATGTGACACAGGCATTCTTTTTCCTCTGTCTCTAGACTCCCCAAAACATATATATGTATTTTTTGCTGTCCCTGCTTATGGTAAAAGAGGAAAAGTGCTCAAAAAGGTTAGGGTAGAGAGTACAGGATTAAAAATGCCATTTTAATCTGTAGGATATAGATGTAGATCTTGGCTTGCAGGTTCTTTAGTACAAACTAAAAAAACAATTTATAGAAACTCTATCTCCTTCTTTGTAGCTAGTGTTGCTTCTTTTAAATATCATAACGCCAGAAGATACAAATTGCAATTAAAAAAAATTTGGAAAGGACTTTGCCATGTACTGATTATATTTCCTTTGTATTTCAACTTGATCAAATGCAAACAAAAATCATGTTTAAGAGAAGAATTGCTCTTTCTCACTTTTAAACTTCTAAAGGAACTAAAAGTAGAAATATACAGAAAGTTGCAGGCGGGGAGAAAAAAGCACCCC